GAGGTCAGTTGTTTTCACTGGCCCATTCCGTCCATGGAAAGAAAGAATGTAGTGAGTGTACTTCATCTTTTTTTTAAGCCTGCTAAGGGACCTTTAAAACTTTTCTTATAAAACATGGTTTATACAATTTTTTCATCTTTCCCTTCAGTTTCCCATCTCCTCAAAAAATAAACCCTGGATCTTGCCCTCTAAAGTCTGCTGTACCCTGCGTGCTGCATCACTTGCTATAAAACTACTGATGGTGCAGGGGCAGCATTCCCCTGTCCATGAAGAGGGAACAAGAGTTTTCTGGCCTTCTGCTCTAGGTCTGTATGGTTTTATGGTGTTATTGGAAGACCACCACCTCAGTCTAGGGCTTTTTTTCCCCTCAGTTCCCTGGATAAATGTAGTGCCATGAATAAAATAAACACTGCTGTCAGTGTCTCAGCATATTTTTTCCCTGCGCTTCATTATACAGGATTCTTTCAAAAGAAATATAACTCACAGTCTTGGCTGGTTCCCAGCACCATTAAAGGTCTGCTGGCACTTTTCTTAAGAATCTGGCATTTTGCTTCTCTTTTTTATAGAAATTCATTTCACCCTCTGCTCTGTAGAATTTCTGCTGCCCTTTAGCCCAGCTGTGGCTGCATGGTAACCCCTCTCTGGCACTTGAAGATTGCAGATACCCTTAGAAGTGTTTAGAGGTGAAAGGAGCAAGTGACTTCTTCATTCACTACCAAACTGGCCCAGTAGATGATACAGAATGAGATGTCAGTCGCTAATCTTGGAGTAAAAAAAAAAAAAAAAAAAAAAAAAAAAGGTTCTGTGAATGGTTCTTTTTAAAAAAACACGAAGTTGTGTTCTTGTCTGCAAGGTAAGGGTCTGACTGATCCATTTGGCAGCATTGCCTTTCTTGGTTTTGTTTCTGGGGGGTGGGGGAGGGAGAGGACTTTTTTTTTTTTCTTTTTGGTTTGTTTTTAAAAGGGAACACTGTTTGCTGACAGTGATGGTGAAGTTTCAGCAGTGATACTTTTGGCTGTCCCCTTAATCCTGCACAGCTCCTTGGCAGGGTGCCGTGGGGACTTCAGCAGCTGCTCCTCTGCTCCAGCCGTGCGAGCTGGTGGCACCCCCGGGCTGGGCACTGTCCCCAGCGGCTGCAGCCGGGGGGGCTCCCGGGCTGCTCGGTTTTCCAAGGCCTCAGGGCTGGAATCCAGGTGGAGGTGGTGAAAGTCTGCACGGGGCAATGTTGTAGCTGAGGAGAGGAGTAAGAGTCACTACCACTGCTGGCTACTGAAGCTGCACTTTTCTAAGCAGGTGAGAAGCCCGGGAGTCCCTCACTGCTGTGGTGTATGCCCAGAGACCCTGGCCAAAGGGCACGGTGCGCTCGGCCCGTGGAACTGCAAGAAGCTCTTAGAGGCTGCCCTTCATCTCAGCTTCTTTCCGTTCTCCTCTCTGCTTGTCCCTGAACTCTCCTCAGCTGGCAGGGCTGTGCTTTGACCCCTTTCCTCCGTTGGTAGGACTGGTTCTGACTCCCAGCTGTGCAATCCGGGTCTCCTCACTGTTCCCCAAGTGATTGTCACACTGTTCAGCAGCATTACAGAGAACTGACCTCACAACTCCGCTCCAGCCCAGACAGTTTTCCTTCTCCTTAAAGTCTGTGCCAGAACTTGCAGTTTCTTCTTCTTGTATTAATTCCTACTTCTGACTCGGCAAAATGATTTGCCTACCTCCCGTGCTGCTCATGGCTTCAGAACCACTGTGCACACCATGCTCCCACACTGGGAAAATGCACAATTCCATGCACTGAGGCACTTAAAGCTACCAGATGTTTTCCTAAAGCAAGTTCTTTATTAGCTTTTGAGGGTGGGGCTTGGCTTTTTTCTTTTCCCCCAACTGAAAAGCTAAGAAAAAAGCTTCAGCACTTTTTACATCGAGAATTTCAAGGAGAAAAAAGCCTCCCGTCTGATGCCGAAGTTAAACTCTAATCACCGCTCAGCTCCGCTGGAATTTGGCAGCGCTCCTTCCCTTGGAGGTCACGTGGAAATCCCGGAGCCTTTTCTTAAAGAACCTCCCGGCTCTGTTCAGGTACTCGCACAGATGGAACTTTCCCGTTAGGATTCTAATGCCTTTTACACTCTCCACTGCATTAAAGCACCATTCCTAATAAGCACCGTTCAGATCTACAAAATTTTATGTTTAAGCATTAAAATACTTTTAAGTGTGTTTAAACTACATAAAAGCACTTTAAAATCTGGTTTGAATTGATATTCCTATTCTGCTGGAATAGAATCACAGTTTTAATCTTGGAAATAGCATTTATATGTGCTTAATGAAAAGAACCCACAATTGGTTCACAAGTTCATGAGAGGCTGTAGGAATATCTGAGATGAAGGTTGAGAGATGAGGGTCTCTGTTCATTTTGTTCACTGAGAATATTTAAGATTCTCTTTCAACTGCCTTTTACACCTAATTCACCAGCTGGGTTTAATTTATGACCAGTGTCTTGGAGATTCTTTCTGATGGGGAGTTTTTAATTCTGTCAAAGCTGACCTAACTGTTCTGTAACAAACAGATAATTTAATTACAGTGTCTGTGAACAGCATACTTGGTTTTTTCCCTCAGTGCTGCTTCTTCCTTGTTTTCACTCTTCAGTTGCATTTTAGCTGGATGTGAAGAACTCAGTGATTAATTCCCTGATCTGATTAGCTCGATACTACGGTGGTGTCTTGAGTGCTGATCAGTGACCCAGTTCCCCATTTTCCTGGTCCCCGTGAGCAGGCACACAATGGAATGGCAGGCTATGCTGGAAACTCGCAAAGCCGAAGTTATCTAAGAGCGATCTGATCCGGGATGAATGCAGTGACCTTTTTCCTGGATCATTACTCCTATTTACATATTAAACGTAGACATTTTTTTCCTTCCCGTGCTGCAGAGCTGTAAAGGTGCCGTATCAGGCAAGAACGTGTGTAAAGGATTCCTTTGTTAAATGTTGGCAGCAGCCTCGGCAGGCCTTGCCAAGCCAGTCCAGCCCACCCACCCATCCAAGAGCGCGCCAGGGATCCCAGCCCAGCCTGGGCTGAGTGTGGACACTCCTGGCAGGGCTCTGCCCTGGAGCCGGGACACTCAGGAGCTGCCCTGGAGCCGGGACACCCAGGAGCTGCCCTGGAGCCGGGACACTCAGCACACGCTGGGACCAGCCCTGCTCTTGCCCCAGAACATGCTGCTGGAGCAGAGCTCACTCGCTGTGCTCTCCCTACCCCCGGAATTGGCTGCCCAAAACCAGACGGGTTCAGTGTGTCTGCGCCTCCCAGCACCCCCAAACTGCTCTCGTGATTTAAATACATTTACACTTCATGTCCTCCACTCCAGGGGAGAAGAAAGTTATTAAAAAGTTTGCAGAAGGGTGTGCTGGAGGAACTAATCAACAAGCCAGAATAAAGATCTCCTACCACCTCACCTTTTGCTAAACCACTCAACCACCTTCCCCCTTTGTCCTTCTTCACCACACCTTTAGATTCTCTTTCAACACACTGACGTGTTTTGGTTAGAATTGCAAAAGATTGACCACACTAATACTAGATGTTTCAGAGATGTTTTCCTTGTTTTGCTCAGGACAGTTTTTCAGAACTGCAACAGGAGTCCTGCAAAATAAAGGTTAAATGTCTCTGCAAGTAAATATGCATAACCTGTGTTTCTGAAACAGCCATGGAGCCCTCAGTTACAATCCAGAGACACTCTCCTAAATGACAACCACATACTCGTGATGCTTCCTGCAAGAAAAAGAGCTTTGTGACAGTTCTGATTTCCCCAGAGTTATACAAGAACTGAAATAAGAGACTGTAAACACCTATTAGTCCAGCCCTGTGCCACAGCGAGATTTTCCCCTTACGTGATTTCCTATTGTTAGGCCGGGTTCATGTGACACAAGCAAGAGTTACCCTCTTTCTCTATGCTTTGCTCAAGTTTTCTTATTTTTTTCTTTGCCTGCCTTTCTCCCTTCACCAAAGGGCAGTGACTTTCTTTTATACATCTCCCAACTCTTCACCTTGCTTGAGAATATTTGCCTCGCCCTGCTACACAGGGTGTAGCAGAGAAGCCGTGGAAGGACTTTGCACAGTCAGCTGTAGCTCCAGTAAACCAAGCTGTGACTGTTAGTGGTGAACAAACCCCTGGCTCTTTCCCTGGTTCTCTCTCCTCGCCCCTCCTTCTTTGGAGATGTTTATTCAGAAGCCAAATGACACAAGAAAAATATCTTGAAATTAAAAATCATGTGTACAGGGCAGAACCTATGAAAAGAGGGATCAAAGGGAACTGAAAGGGAGACATGAAGTAGAACACACAGGTAACTGGAAAGCAAATCCCCAGGTGGATAATCCACAGTGTTCATGGAAAACAGAACTGTAGCAGTCAGACTCTTGGAGGCCAGAGGAAGATGCTAGAATAGTTAATGTGTTCAAGTCCTGTAACGTGGAACAGGTGACAGTGCAGACTATCAGTGACAAGAACAGGAGCATGGGTCCATCAGAGCCTGGCTGATAACCATGGCAGATCACAGGATGCAACTCTGAACACGTGAACTTCACCATGGTACACAGCAGTACGGCTGTGTTTAAAAAAACCCCAATCCTTAGCAGCATTTCCCTCACCTGGATTTGCCAGGTTATGCTGCAATTTGTCATTATTTGTCGTGACATAGCACAAGGAAAAGCACCCCCAAAACCTGATTCAGAGCCAGTCAAGGCTACCTTGGAAAACGTCACTGTCTCGAAAGACAACACTCATGGAAGAACGGCGCGGAGGTTTCCGCTGCCGGAGCCGCTCGGGCGCAGTGTCGGCGCAGGGGCTCGGCCGTGAGCCCGGGGCAGGTCCCGGAGCCTTGAGCGTGCTCCGAGCCGGCCCCGAGCCGGCCGAGCTGGGGCCGCTGCGCAGCTCGGTGCCAGCAGCGGCTGCAGAAAGCCGGGGGGGCGGGCCCTGCCCGCCCTTTCCGCTCCGCGCAGGGGGAGGAGCGGCTGCGGCGGCGCCGCTCGGAGCTGGGCTTCTCTGCCGGGACCGGGACCAGAACCAGAACCGGGATCGGATCGGTACCGGGATCGGGACCGGCATCTGCATCGGGATCAGAACCAGGACAGCGGAGCCGGGAGCGCGCCTCCGAGCGGCGGGGCGGGCTGCGGCGCTCCGGGCTGTGCGCCGCCGGCCGGGGCACGGCTCTGCACCGGGACGGCGCGGCTCCGCTCCGCGCACCCTGCGCGTCTCTCCGCACCGCAGCGCGGCCCCGCTCCGCGCGATGCTGCCCGGGCGCTCCCCGCACCGCTGCGCCTGAGGCGGGCGCGGGGTGGTCATGCAGTCCTCGCTGCCTTAGCTGAGCGCGGCGCTCGGCCCGGAGCCCGCGGCCATTCCCCGGCGGCACTCGCGGCACCGGCACCATGAGGAACGGCGATGACCTGGAAGGCTTCGACGGCGAGGCGTCCAGCGCCTCCATGATCTCGGCGGCCAGCAGCCCCTACCAGCCCACCACGGAGCCCGTCAGCCAGCGCCGCGGGCTGGGCGGCCTGCGCTGCGACCTGGACTACCTGCGGGGCACCTTGGGCAGGCTGAAGCTGGCCGAGGTGGTGAGTAGCGCGGCGGGGCGCGGGGCTGCGGCCGGGCGGAGTGAGGGGCGGGCCCGGCCGGGCCGTGCGGCTCTGCCGGCGCCGCGGGAGCGAGTTCCACCGGCGTGCCGAGCAAACCGCTGCAGGGCCGGGGCAGCACGGCAGGCAGCCGCGGTACCAGCAGCACACCTTCTGACCCCGCTCATGGCGTCCCGGTGCCCGGGGTTGCCTCCCGGCCGTGCCCGGGTGAGGCTCCGCCGTTCCCCCGTGGGACCCGCCCGGTGCCGGGTGCGGAGCGCGCCGGGCCCGGGATCCGCCCGGAGCCCGCAGAGCCCTCGCTCGCCTGCTTGCCCGTAGGGGGCTGAAGTTCTCCTCAGTGCCTCTAGTAAAAAGAAAGAAACCCTTAAAAACTCTGGAACACCAAACGTGAGGTTTTGTATTGTGAAATTAAACGTGAGCTGGGTTCGTTCGTGTGCTTTGGACATCTGAGCTGGTTCAGTTTGATGGAGCCCGTGCAAGGCTTGGACCACCCCAGCAGTGAAACACGTAACAAACACCAAAGCATTTCAGCAGTTTCTGTGGTGCTAGTGCTGATGTTTGCCTTCATCTGATCTGCTTTCCAAGTCACTATGATTTTTATATTTTTCAAATCAACAAATGTGTTTTTCAGGATATTAGGAAAAGAGTCATTTTATGAAAATGGCAATCACCTTGAAATAGATTTTGAAGTGATTTCTTACATTGTGTTGCAAATTCTTGCAACTTAAGTTCTTTGAGAAATGTGATGCCAGAAACGTTTTAATATTTCGTATTTATAACTTTGGCATTTTAAACCGCTGCTGGTTAGTACAAGGCAAAACTTGCACATACAGGTTTCATGAAAAACGCATTGGAAGTATCCTGGCTTCAGATGCACACAAGTTTATAGAGGACTCTGGTGATGAATTCATTTTTTATGACTGCCCAGTAAAATCCAGCGTTTGGAAGTGTGATTTGTTTTCATCTCATCTCCTCAGCGCAGGGTAGGATCTGTGCTCTGCAAGTGGTAGCAGTGAGCGTGTTAGCCCAGTAAAACAACAGGGACCAGCAGTGTGTGTGTTGTGTGTGTTCAGGACTGGAGCCAAAGGATCTGTCATCACTGTGCAACATCTACCTGTCTTCGAGCTGTTAAAAACTGTCCATGTGGTGGAAATCCTGGGGTGGTGCTGCCTGATACGCTGAAATAATCTGCCCTCGGGATTTTTGTTTCAGTTCCTACTGCAGATCCTTTCTGCAGTACACTAATAACCATGGCAAGTCTTGTTAAAAACTTGTCAGTAAAATGACTAATTACTGATTGTAACTAAATCCTTTATTATTAAATCTGACTTGCTTGGAACAAATCCCAAAGATACTTGGAGTACACCTCGTAAGTTTTTAAGTCGTGTAAAGAAAGATGGGGGAAAACCAGGCTGTGCTGGAGTTAGCGAGGTTTCCTTGTCCCTGCACAAAGACACTGCTGCTCCCAGTTCATCCTTGGGGAGATTGATACTTGCAGAGCTGTGTCTTGAGAGGAGCTGAGCCGTGCTTTGTGCCCTTTTCATAAGAATGATCTGAGCTATTGCATGTGGTTCCCAGGAGTGTACGAATGCAGAGGGGCAGCAGTTAAGAAGAAATTAAATTAGCTACTGTGGGGTGGAAGGCTGTGTACCACTTCAGCCTGGTTACTCGTACTCAAAAAAACTCCTCATTCATGGTAATGGAAGAGCAGACTACTGACATTTGCAAACCGATGGAAAACTGAGCAGTGTTGGAAAAGAAAGGAGAGAGAGCACATTCCACTGTGTACTTAAGTTGCTTGTTTGCCAAGTATAATTATTTCAATTACAATATTCAATAATGCCTTTACAAAAATACTGTAGGAACTGAAATGTAACAGAGTCTGTGGTGTAGAACTCTATGTCTTTAAAACAAGAAGGAACTCCTGGCACTCAAAAAACATTACAAAAAGGAAAAAGGCAAGTATTGGTTAAGATAAAAGTCTCTAAGTGTATTTTAGTAAAAAAAGAATGTTACAGGAAATACTACAATGCATGTGCTTCATTTAGCATCAAGATTTATCTTAAAATACATTTGTGATTGACAGGCAAAATATCAGCTCAAGGCAAACATTGCTGCTGCTTGTTCTAATCTTTCCTTGAAGGGCTTCCCACAAACTGCCCTGTGGTGCTGAGGGAAGGAAAACTGCTGCTCTGTGGCTTGGATGGCCCTGCTTCCAAATGCCCATTTTTGACTGTCAGAAGGAACAGGAAATGGGGAAAACCCCACATCGCTTAAAATAGGTGTAAGGCTCTGTTAATTTATTGTAGATTTATCTTTATGGTTCCAAATAAAGGGGTTGTTACAAGAAGGAAACTGCGATGACATTGTAGGCATGTGGAGTAATGTAAGTCCTGCTAGAGGGGACAATAGTTTTAACTCATTAACATTTCAAGACAATATGCCCATAAGCGTCCTTTGAAGGGACACCAACATAAAGGGTTGTGATGATATTTCTTGTATGGTATTGTGCAGCTTATTTCTCAGCCTTGTTTTGGTTTTTGCTAAGTTTAGATTTGGTTGCAGACTGGAAAACTACAATTCAGAGCTACATCTCCTCTTTATGGCCAAGCTGAGGAGTTCCTAGTCCTTGGCCGGTGGTCAGTAATAACAGTGTGAGGAGCAGTGAGGGAGTGCGGGAAAGGGCCCATGTGGAACAGCTTAGCGTTGAACTGATTTCCCTGGATTTGACAGTGTTATTGCCAGGTGGGTGAGCTTTTCAGAAAGGAGTCCTTTGCCTGTGTCTCAGTGTTCTGTTGAAATAGTTGTGTGTGTTTGTTGGGATCTGTGAGGGAGCACCTGCTGCACTGGGGCTGCAGCCGTAGCCTCTTTACAGCAGCAGCTTGGAGGAAGGTGGGGAGTGTTGGACCACGTCAGGAAAGGAGTGTGCAGGGCTCCTGACACCCGAGGGTGTCACTGGACAGGTGGGGAGTGACACACGAAGGGCATGAAGGGAAATGGAAGGGGGCAGGACTTAAGGTAGCTTGGAGCTTTCATGTTTGCTTTGTGCCTTTTGGTTTTGTTCTTATGGGACTCTGAACTCCAAAGGGAGGTCAGGGAGAAGCCAGTGCATTTGTGTGCTAACCAGAGAAATGGTTTTCCTTTGGAGAGGTTGTCTCTATTGACCTTCTGGCAATTAAAAGGAGCAGTACCTTTTCTCATGGAAGGAGTGAGAGGTGGCTGTCCTTGGAGAGCAGAGCAGGAATGTTCTTTAGCATTTATTCTCATTTCTTTCTGGCATGAATTTGTTTCTCATGCTTTTGAGGGCTTTAATACTTCCCACAGAGACTGCTGTACGGTGATGAAATGAATATCACTGGAAAACTTTGCTATGGATGTCCTCAAATTATTTATTTCAGTACTTTCTGCCCATTCCCCTGAATTCCCTAAGGACAGTCTCTCCTTTTCCTGAGTGTGCTTGCTGAAAAGAGGTGTTTACTGTGGAGAGTCAGGAGGGGCCCATTCTGCCATGCCAGGGAGATGAGCTGGTTAGCAGGTACCCCCTTTTTGCTGGAAATAGTTTCAGTTTAGATGAGACTGTCTGCTTCCCCCCCCCCCTTTGTTTTAGTTTTCAGCTTTTCAAAATGCATTATTTTTCCTTGGTTATTGTAATTGTGCACCTTCAAGGATCTTACTGTCGTTAAAGCTGGGCATAGACATGTCCTACTGAAATTCCCGTGGCCAGTCATGGCTGCCCTATGTCTGCTGCTCAGTTTTCCTGGGAGTGTGGCTCCAGGTGGGCTGCTCATAGGCTTGAAGGAAAGGAAAACTAGGCAGGATCCTGTTGGGAACCCTGTTGGTTCTCACTGGAATCCTGCCAGGTTTGCACAGGCACTTGATTTAAAGTAACGTGTATCACCTTTAGCAGCTGGGCCAGTGGGTGTGAAGAATTGTGCGTGGTCAGTTCCTGTGACATTGGCAGCAGTTAGGAATGGTTTACCTGGAGCAGTGGGATCACAGAGCAGCCTTCTGGTGGGAGCAGCAAGAGGCAGAAACCACTTAGCATGTGCTGGCTCAGAGGGTGGATGGCATTTGTGGTGACTGTTGATGGCTTCTGTGGCTCAGACAGCCCTAGCCCAGGAGACATTCTTCCACTCATGTGTTTGTTCCAAATGCTACAAAAATCCATCAGATATTCCTTTTAAAGAAGATAATACTTCTGCTTGGGAGGTCTCTGAGCTGCGAGGTGCTGATGAGTGCACTGGGAAGTATCACTCCATGCTTGCTCTTGTCTTCTTGTCTATAGCATTTGGTGTTACCAGGGGAGGCAGCAGTTTGAGCTAAATGAAATCTGGTGGGAATAGCAGTTCAGATGTTCACAGTTTTCAGAATAAAAATTCCATCTTCATTGGTGAAGAGTAGCTGTGCATTGAAAAAAAGTTGTTTTGTGGCTTACTGTTCATTATACATTTCCAGATTCAGAAATGGGTTGCGGAGGCCAGGACTTCAGTGGAACTCTTGGCTGTCAGGTTCTGTTGTGATGAAGAAAACAAAATTCAAAAGCCAGGAATGCATGCCTACATGGGTAATAAGAGTATTGAGAATTCTCATTGTTAATTATATTAGAAAATTAAAGTAATTATATTTATGTTCCAAGGAACAAGCTAATTGATGACTATTAGAATCTGGTTGAAAACTATTCTGAGGTGTTCATTAATCTCATATTTAGTTATTGCTTCTTCTTGTGTCTTGAGCTCAGCATCTCAGCTGGAGGGGAGGATTACATGGAGCCCCCAACCTCCCAGCTGTGTGTGATGTGTCACAGCTGAGGGCCTGTCTGACTTGGCTGCTCCTTTGCCCCTGCAGTGCTCTGGGTGTGATTCCCAGCTGGGAATGGGTGGCTGGAGCAGGGGGCTGGGTGCTTCCCAAGCAGCTGCCATCTGGAAGTCAGGGAAGTTCCAGGGAACCACATGATCAGTGTGAATGAAGGGAGATTGCTTTTG